TTCTCAGTAAGTTGGGACCTCCAACTTTTGATGGGAATATTCTAGAATATCCTGAATTTTCATCACGTTTTGCAACACTAGTAGAAAGCAAAGTTCAGTTAGGTGATACGACAAAGTTTTGTCTCCTCAAGTCTTGCCTCAGAGGACGTGCGCTCCACTCCATTAAAGGATTTGTCGATGACGCCCGGGAATTACAAAATCGCATTGGATATTCTCGCCACCCACTACGATGATAAGGCCACAATGAAGCACATCCTCTACATGAAATTAGCTCAGTTGCCGAATTGTGGCCCCGAACCAAATGTTTGCCCCGGTAAGGCAATCAGTGATCGGGAGGATGACTGCAAAGAGACTGGTTTGGGAGCGATTTTGCTCAACAAGCTGCCAGCAAGGGTGCGAAACTAGATATATGAACGAACGGGGAACAAACACAATCTGACGCCGACCGAACTGCTAAACTTGCTCACTGATATAGTCCGTGAAGACGCAACCCTAATCGAGATGGAATATCATGCTCGCCCGAGTAACCATTTCCAGAATACGGCTTCCACGCCTCATCACGATCGAGTCCGGACAGGATACTTCCTTATAAGCTCATGAAAATGAGATCGTGCCCTTTCTGCCCGAGCAACGATCACATCCCCAATGCATGTGTTGCATTCTCTACACGTCAAGAACGTAGCCGTCTCGTCAAGCAACTATGCTTGTGTTACAACTGCCCCTCAAAACATTCGTAGAAGGAATGTACATCGAAGCAGTCTTGTGAATCGTGGGCGAAACGCCACCACTAATCTCTGTTTTGTACACTAAGCGTGTCGAATCAAGAAAGAAGGCCTCCACGAGGTAAGACCCTATTTCCACCTAAGTTTGCGGTCATTCCCACCAACAATCCTCTGCTGCTGCTACGAATGAAGCTCAAGTTGATAGTTCTTCGGAAGATAACATGATGCATATCTCCCCTACGCCCACTCACCTAACCTCGCACAACCTCGAAATCTCATCGGTTGGACGGACACCAGCTACGCTGATATGTACTTCTGTTTGCCTGTTCATCCCTTCCAATACTTTCAAGGAATCCTTTGTGACGGCATTTTTCGACTCAGGCTCCAGCCAATCGTATATCACAGACGAAGTAGCCGAACTTCTTGATTTTCCAAATCTTCATTCAGGGACATTTCTGTTTCCACTTTCGGCAAAACAGCTTCTCTGAAGCTAAGATCTCGCAATCATATCGTCGGCGTTAGCACAGAGAAGGGTGAGAGGCAGCTCCACGTCAAGTCCTTGCCTATTTTGACTGAGCATTTATGTCATGCTCACCACATACATGACATTGAGAGCAACGACATCACCATATCATCTTCTAAGCCGTCAATTTTGACAGTGAATGACTACTTCGGGGGACATAATTTTATCAGTTGACTTCCGTTATGAGAAACTCCCAGACGGGTATCGTTTACTTAACACTGCAGTCGGCAATGTCCTCGAGGGTAGTGCATTCAACCTCAAAAGTATCTCAACATGCAAAAACAACTCAACCGCAAAATCCAAAATCCGTCTTGAGAGGGCGCAGCGGCAGGTTTCTAAGACACCTTTGCGAGAAATGTCGACTTTACCAGCTGATGCTGACACGCTCCATGGACCATCGGGTCCCACTGTAGTGGCGGCGCCTAACACTGCAGTTCTTCACGGGCCGTCCGGAAATTCGATAATTTCAACAGCCTCCGTCTCGACTTGACTTCCAGAACCATCTCAGCCTCGAAACCCAGAATCCACCCCAAAAAGGAGCGACGGCAGGTCAAACCTTTCAGACAAACATCGGCCACGCTAGCCAATGCAGACACAATTCATGGGCCACGTCCTGCTGTAATAGTAGCATCCAACACTGCGGTACTTCACGGACCATCTGAACCATCAATCACGCCGACGGCAGCACCGAACTCAACAACTAGTGCACTGGTTGGTGAGGACCAAACGCCAAAAACTGTAAGCGAACTCAAATCAAGACAAAGCGAGCGAAGTTGCGTCAAGTTTCAAAATCGCCAGTACAGGCAGCTCTCTCTACAAGAACAGCAGTTAATCTGACCGATTCCTTTTCGCCAACACCACCATATGGAAACAGACTCCTCACCGGCGTCGGCAAAGATAGTTGGAATCTAGCCCGAAATGCCAGCAGCGACCCTGCAGCATCACCGCAACTGGCAACAGCTCGTAGTCAAACACCATCAACCAAAACCCACAACTGGCGTCAGAGCTGTCGGAGGAGAAGAAATAGCAGGAAGTCTGGATCGACGAGTTTCTTCATAAGCCTGCAAGCGATAACAAAAGCAATCCGCATAATCTTCACCCCATTCAGAGCAACCCCCCTTACTAAAAGAAAGAGTAGTCTCTCTTCAAAGTTTATGGCTACTAGATTCCACTCAACAGCCCCAGGATCAAGATAGCCTCCAAACTGAGCGTGCACTGGATGCACGAGCCAGGGCAGGACCAGGGAACTATCATTCCCAATCTCCTGCGTACACTGTCATCAAAGATGCGATGTTATCAACTGAAATCAATGTCGCCAACACCGGGAGCAAACACAGCTATCGAAGAGCCAATGTCACCCACCAGAGCCGACAGGGCTAAAGAAATTTCGACGGCGCCGAGAGAATCTACAAAGGTTTTTGTAACGCCACAAACTAACAGCATCTCGAATTGAACAGGTCATCGACTATAATGCAAGTGATCTCAAACTATTGGTGCTATTGTATTGTTGTTCATGCTCATTCTCCGACGAGATGTAATTCATGTTAATCTCGTTTGTTGTCCTGTTGGAAGTTTCTGTACCTAACAGAAACTCGACCTCCCCTGCTTATACCGATGAGTTCTGATTTGGTATCACAATGTTTATAGTACTGTACTACAAGACATGCTGCCTACATAAACCCTAGGTGGACCATTCTCTTCACTTTTTCGACTTCTTTTTCGCCATCAATCTTCTCCGTGTTCTTCATTCGTCCGTCCAGTGACCAATCATAATCCTTCTGCTTGTCGTTGCACTCTCGCTGAGATAGAGTATTTCAGTAATCTCGGAGTTGAGGCTACTGTACAAACCCCGAACACAAGCGGTTACTGTTGACATTATGAATTCTAGGCTGGCTAACGGACGCTTTCTTCCCTTTACACCCACATGTACTGCTCTGCTTTCATTACCAAGGCAACCCCAGATAAGGGATTCAGTTCCGCTGGAAGGTGAAAGGGGCCATGGGCAAGCAAGAGAAAGCCAAATTTTCTCTGTAAACAGTTCAAGGACCAATAAAAAGAAAGAGCTTAAAAAGTGCTTTTCCCTATCTGTAACTACTCAGCATCAATTCAGCTCCTTCCCACCTGATGACTGATGATTAATGTGAATGTGAAATGATGTTGCCAGGAAATACTTCTTTTACAGATGTTAGCCAATCGAACATGTCTCCGAGATAAAGGTGCTGTCCTTGCCCTTGATGAAGACGCTAGTAAGAACTTTTTCCTCCTAAGCGGTAAGCATAATCTTGTTCCTCCCATCCCTAGCACGATAATTTTCAAGAGCATGATAAGGCTTTGATCAGAGGCATAGCAGTTTACGTATTGGGAAGGAGAACTTAAGCCTTCGACTTAGTATATACCGTTGCCTCGGGAAATGCGGTCCAAAAATGGCGTGATAAGAGCAAGCAAAAGTTCCACTCATCCGTCTTGGAGTGGGCGGAAGTGCTAGACCTAGAAGCTCTCAAACGCTATCTTTTCATTAGCCGTGATAATGCCATGAACGAACTCTGTCGAGCCCAAAAATCCTTTCCAAAACATATTATGCAAAGCCAACTGGGACCTCGAAAGTAGGGTCAAGGTTCGACGAAGGAAGCCGATTTTTCTAAAGGATTGAACATTTCTGCCAACGTTTCATTTCAGCGTTTTCTTCAAAAACCAAATTCTGGTTGGGACTAGAGTACGACGGTAGCCAATGGGCATGGTCAGGAGGCTATTCGGTGAGTACCATTGTAAAATCCTACAGAACAGATATCAAAACACGAGATGTAAAGACCGAACCATGGAAGTAAAGACTGAACTCTACTTGAACTAATTCTAGACTAAAAGAGCCCAGCCTTTCTATAGAATGCTATTAAACCGTGGAAAGTTTAAAATACATTCTAATCCATTCCGCTCACATCCCAGTAAGGGCTCACTGAGTTGTTCAACTAGACATCTGTGTGTGACACTCACGCTCGGTGAATGGGTTATTTTAAGACTGGCTACACAAATTGGGGTCCAGGCCAACCAGATTACAGCAAGGGTGATTGCGCCTACATGCAACAATATTCTGGATTCTCGTGAGTTAATTCTATTTCAAGAGTCTCTCTATTTTAATTGGAACACTAGCACCGATATCAACTTCTTGTATATAAAACAGAAACATGGTGTGTCTATGTGACGATTTGTTAGTTGGTAGTCACTCAACTTGTCTGCTCCTTTGCAAATGTTTCCTGATTATGCTAATGGGAGTGTTAAGGAAAACTACAGCTAGTTGAGATGATAACAATAATTGAGAGACTCAAAAGCCAGGTTGGTGATGATAGTGAAAGCCGAAGACCATTTAAATCATAAAGCAGTTACGTGCAACATTGCCACGATCAATTTGATCAACTCGTAAGGATCAAATTCGATTTTGGATTGATCAGTTATTCATAACCTGGCTTTCGAATTTCGGTTCTAGTCTCGAAAGCCAGGTTATGAATAACTGATCAATCCAGAAGATGGGCGACAAAAGACTTTTGTTAGCTGACGTTCCTCAAGCTTCGTTGTGCTGACGTCTGCATGCTCGAGAGAGCGGCAAAAACGCTGGGCTCCTTTAAGTTGAGTGCATGTCCTAGCCAAGAGCGTTCGAGCGTTCTTTAGACTCTCCGAAAATCGTGTCGCCGCACCGGCTCGCGCGAGCTTGCGCGCAGTGATGGGAAGGGTTTGAGTTTCTAGTGGAGGAATACGGTAGCTACCGCGAGAACAGTGCTGCTTGCCATGGGAATTCGGAGAAATTTGTAGTGAGCTAGCTCGGAGTTGCTTTCGATCTTGCTCTTGCTCTTGAAAATGGCATCGTAGTCAAACCTAACAAAGGGTGCGGGCCAATATATGCCAAGAATATCCCAGACGTACTTGAATACTGCGAGTTCCATCAGGGGGCATGGGTCAGAGGTTGGAAGGTCTGGGCTTTTCAGAGATTTGTGACGGAACGTTTCTCCCAACCTAACATTAGGCAAAAAAAGACAGCCCAAACTTAAAATTCCGTAAGCGCTGTAGGAGTACAGGGAATGCTTCTTTGTAGAAAACATTTTTGAAATTGATTCTCAAAAGAACTTCGCACGCAAGAGACTTCCAAAACGACTTGACACACTGACCTAACAAAATTCTAGAGCATTAGAAATACATATATTCGAATGAGAAGAATCAAATTGCTCAGAAGTCAAACTGAGAAACTACAAAGTCGAAAAAATTTCTTCCAGGACGTAATGAAATTTTTTTAGATCGGGATGGTTCAGTGACGACTGCAACAACGACCACAATTACATTTGCCAGACAAGGCCATGTGATTCTACCAACTACTGTGCTGCTGAATAAGGCCATGACAAAACTTTTCGTACAGATATTCAAGCATAAAAAAATTCAGTGAAAAAATGCTCGATCCTTGAGAATTCATGATAACAACTTTACTACGGAATTGCTTTCATATTATTCACAATTCCGCTACGAAATAGACTTACCGATCTGGCGAAGAACATGCGGTTCTCATCGATAAATCACCACGAAACCGAATATACCAATTGTCCACTCATCCACAGCAATGAGGGCCGCTCTGAAAAAAAAAACACTACGATGAATCGTATATGGCGACTTACAGTACCTCATAATAGCTACCCTAAGCTGCGTTCACACTAGGCGTGAACGAGAAACAATGGAACCTGCCTAACGCAGCCAACAGATAAAAACTATGTCGGTGCAATGTTTTGCAAATGGAAAAGGGGTGTGGAACTCAAGTAGGGTAGACGGAAAAGGATATTGGTACCCGGTGACTACGCTATGACTGTTGACTGCTCCTTTTCCATCTCAGAACTAATAGATCTCCCAATCTTGATCCATGAGATGTTTTCCTGCAATGAGTATGTCCGCAACCTTATGATGGCGTTTCCTTTTGGAAACTGAAACTTAGCCATCTCTCGTTCGATGTACGGCGAGAGAAGAGTAAGGGAGGGGAAGGGGGAAGAGAGATGTTAGTGAAGAAAAAAGTTTGGTAGCAATGTTTAGTTTCGAAAACTGGTCAATATTCAATATAAAGTTCACTAAAATTACAAAACGTGAAGAATTTGGTAGGACATTTGTTCAAAGCTGATTTGAGGCCTTCACTGAGTAGGAAATATAAATAGGCATCTGGTTCGAAAATCGCCTAAATACAGAAAATTCGCTGTGATCGTGTTGTTTCAACGCCAGTAATTCCAACTTGAAGCATACGGCTTCCTTGGCTTTTGGTTTGGCTCCCCTGAAGCCTAGTATTTTTCTAACATGGATAACCGATACTTGTCCCAAGGTAGGAAAGGAGAAAGCTCAGTAATAGTACAAGTTCGTAACTCAGTCGTTCTATAAAGCTTTCTGATGAGTTCTGGCTGGCAAGAAATTTCTTAAGAAATTTATCATGTCGCCCCTTTTCTAACCAAAAATTACCCTGTGAGGATTTTAATTTCATATCAAATCGGGCACCAGTCGAAAAATACCACGCCATACCGTGAAACTGTATAATTTGCTTCAAGGATATTTAGTAGGTAACAGGTTGACATTTAGTCTTAAAAGATTGAGCTCGAGCAACCAAGTAAACCTCCATTTTTGATGACAAGAAATGAATTAGTAAAGATCTCGTTAATTTATACAACCCTATCATCTTTTCCTCACAACTGCTTTTTTTCTGCTGAAGCTTCAAAGGTTTCTGAATTCAAGTCCTCGTTTTCAACTTCTGTAGTACTCCGAAAGAACCTGAATTACATCCAGAATTATTTCAGAATTTCAGATTCATATCAGGAGCTCTTCTTTTACACGATGCAAGTATATTTTTCCCTTGTAATTCAAGAGTGATTTAGGTCGAAACCCAGACCAAGGTGATTAGCAGTCGAAAAAGCAACTCCACAATCCAAATCACTATTCACTTCACAGCTTCCAATAATCTATGGTGTAACATCCATTTATATTTACGACCTCCATAGTTTCTTCTAAACTCTGAGGTAGAACACTTTGCGTTTGCTGCCATGATTTAGCGCACAAAATTTGACGAAAAAATCAATTACAAAAAAATCCAGCAAATTTTTAAAGCAAATTTTTGATAGTACTGCCATAGAACGCTGTAAGTTAGTCTGTTTGTTTGTCGGTGTGTTTATGTTTATGTGTCGGTTAGTGCTGTGGATTTTTATCTCTATTGTAAAGTACTGTCCATTTGTTATGAAATAACTGCCGAGTAATTAGAAAAGTAGTAGTAGAAGTAGTAAAAATCATTAGCTCCCTCACACAACCTTTAACATTCCTTCAGATGAGGGGAGCCTTTGCTACGACATTTTCGAAGCTCGATTATGATATTTTCCTCAATGATGCCTTCAACCATCTATCTTGAACGGAGGTAATTCGAGGCATTACAGACTTATCTGCCGTTTTGGACACCCTCACTTTTCACCATGCCGGCACTTAGGATTTCCTGGAAATACAGAACTTTATCGAGAGTTCGTCATGCGGATGGTCGAGAGAGTTATGCTCTACAATTAAGAGTATAATCGAGGGTAGTAAAATCGAATGAGGACCGAGGTGGGAGAGGATGTGACGGTATTCATCCCCAACTCCATAAGCAAGCGGCAGCGGTTCCGCGGCGGGTATCGTATCCTTCCGCTATGAATTAAACCTAACCCTCCTCCGTCCACAACATGCGACTGCGCGCGATCGGGTGCGGCGAGCGCGACGCGATTATCGGGAAGAAGTTGCCACACTCGGGAAGAGGTGATGGGGAATGATCTTTGCAAGGCTCCAATGACATTATTATCTTATCTTTGGTGATTCTGAATATTGAACTTTGATTGGCGCAATCTTCCCCGAGCTTTATCAACCTATCGAGCCGCCAACAATTTCACGATAAAGGTTGGCGATGCTACGACTAGTTCTGAACGCGCTCTATCTTCTTGGTAGGTTCCGTCCACGTCATTCACTGAAAATGTAGTTCTTTTCCTGCACAAAACTTTTTTGGAATGGTCCATAAGTGCCACCAGTGCCATATTTTTCATGTTGTAGTGCATTTGTTCCGCTTAAACACCTTTATTTATTTTTTTATTGATACACTCCATTGAGTGCGCCACAACTAGCAAATAAACCACCCGATGCCACTGTGCAATGTGAGAATTAGAAGAAGATAAGAGGACAAAGTCACTGGCACATATCAGTATTCAAAAGATGCAGTGCTAAAGAGTGCAACGAAGTCGCTCTTATAGCCAGTGGCCGCACCAGTTGACCATGGTGCCCCCATTTCGTGAGGAGTCACAGGACAGAGCCGGAACTTCGGCCCACAGGTATGCCAACTACCCACGTGGAACCGACCTGTAAGCTACTGGCTATTCACTAGATCGGGATGGTTCAGTGACGACTGCAACAACGACCACAATTACATTTGCCAGACAAAGCCATGCGATTCTACCAACCATTGTGCTGCTGAATATCGCCATGACAAAATTTCTTTTTATTCAATTCCTTTCTATAGATATTCGTACAAAAAATGTCAATAAAATGACGCTGAACTCTTGAGAGCCTTGAAGGCGACTTTACTATCGAACTGCGTTCATACTATTAGGAAATTCGGGATAGCTCCCGCTACAAAAAGAGGACTCACTGAACTGTCAAAGACTCATCGAAAGATCCACCACAAAAGCGAAGAGCTAATTCTTCGCCTAAGCACACCAATGAGGACCAGTTGAATGCCCTGAAAAACACCACATTGAATATTATTTGGAAACTTACAGTACCTCATATCAGCTACCCTAAGTTGCGTTCACACTCGGCGTGAATGAAAAACATACACTGCGTCTATCGCGGTCAATAGATAAAAGCTGCGATATAACGCCCAATAAATGAAAAATTAGGAGGATGTTTTCGATGAAGGATGAGTCAGAGAAGGTAACATTGAATGATCGCATGCTACTGGTCCACCGACTAATAAAAGGAATTCCAACAAACATTCACGATATGCTCTTCTCCAGTGAGTACATCCGCAGCCTAATAATAGTGTTTCATTTTTGAAAACTCAATCTTATTCATCTCATGATCGATCTTGGATCGAAAGGAGAGAGAAGTAAAGGAGAGATACATAAACGAAGAGTAAAGTTTGGATACTGGATTCGGATTTTCGGAACGAATCTATCTAAACTTCCAGCGCATTTTACTAGAGCTTCGTTGACTGGTAGGTTTTTCAACTTTTCGCAGGAGGTTACTATCTCGCCGAACCCGGTGCTCCTACTCTACTAATATTTGATTGGAAACCTGAACGACCAGCATCTCCCTGGCTGCACAGCATAGGAACGCACAAATGGCCGATTCCGATCCTTCTCTTCGTCTCAGATACGGTGTTTGTATAATACAAAACAACTCTTGACTCGCCTTGATTACTTGTTATACTAGCACCCTTAGCAGGTAGCCGTGTGTGTAGCCGGCAGGTAATGGGACCCGACTCCGCTCATGTTCACATTTTCTACATTTTTACCTCCCTGTCCTCATCTTGGCGCCGCGTCTATACCAAATTTGAACGCTCTAGATTCACAGGAATGAAAGTTATGAATTTCCAACCGGGCACAAACCCATCGGCACACACACACACATACACATACATATACACATAAACATACACATACACGTACACATACAAATATCACACACATATCATATCACATCACACACAATATCATACACAATATCATACACCATACACATACACATACACTCAAGCACACAGATAAACCAAA